GATTTACTGTATTAAATCTGAACCACTAGACAGGCACCAAAGATAGTTTTTTCTTACTGTTTATTATAGATTGAAGCAACAGTATGAGCCATATGTTATTACATAGAAATATTAGCAATGAAAAATATAATTAAATTCACAGCAAAGAAGCTTTATTGAGTGTTAAATATTCAATAACCTAAGTAAGAAGTATTGGGATAGTGTGTATGATGGGAACACACGAAAGTAATAAAACACTCATTTGGAATTCAATAATATTCTCAACAATTCTTTTGAACAACAATGTCAAAATTTCCAACTTAGTAAAGGTGTCCTTTAGGCTATAGATAAAAGTTTTCAAAGTATGTATGAATCATGTCCAAAATGCACTTTCTTCAAGAGAGTTGGTGCCTCTAAATCTTCAGCAAAGAAGCAAATGTATAAATAGTATATACCAGGAGAAACGCAATTTGAGTAATGAACAGTCACTGTTGATAAAGTAAGCTGACATTACATTGTGGTGTTTTGAATATCTTTTATAAAGCAGGTAAAAATTAAATATATGAGCTCTGCCTGTCATACTATCTTGAGTGAAAAAATCCATTCAGAAATTATTATCTGTTATACTTTCAGAAGTGATTGAGTTCAATTTTGCTGAACTATCAAAATGTTACTTTTCCTAAAGATAACATTGTTTGTAATGAGGCACTTAACCACTATGACTCTGTGAGCATTTAAGAAATCTGAAGTACAACCCAATGTTATATGGTTTTATTTATACTGTGGAGAAAAAGAACAATGCTTAGAAACATTGTTTTAAATTTTAGTATTTTCCAAGATTATGCAAATTCACTAGACACCACATCCTGAAGTGTAGTGGAGGAGTTACTCTGAGACAGATTCATCTATACTTTCCTAATTAGCTTTGCTATGCCAAAAGTGTTCAACAATGCCTCCATATCCCAGCCTGACAATTAGAATCAGGTTTGTAACTCCTTTTCTGACTTAGAAGAAAGATTAATACATCAGCTGGATCAATCTTACTGCAGAGGGGACAGGCTTTCTGCAGCTTGAGCAAAGAGGGATGAATAGCAGGTACAATTCCTACAGTCAAATGAACTCAGGACCTGTACGCTCTAGCAGCTTGTACTGCATTTCCAGCTGTAACCTCCCAACCCCTAATTTCTACGTGTAGCTGACGCAGATTTCTCTCATTTTACAGTCTAGTATTATACAAGCCCAGACACTGATTTCTTTGGGAGTTTCTCACTGATAGGTCTTGTGACCCAAGACACACCAAGACCAAGCCTTGGCTACTTAATAGAAGCTGTATGAGGAGTGGCTGAAGTCAGAACTTCATCATGAGGGACAGACACTGATCTTCTCTCTGTGGTGACTGGTGACAGAACCTGAGGGAATGGCCTGAAGCCCACTTGGGGGAGGTTTAGGTTGGATCTTATGAAAAGGCTCTTCACCCACAGAGTTTTTAGGCACTGGAGCATGTTCCATGGGGAAATGGTCATGAAACTAAATTTGTTAGAGTTCAGGGAGTGTTTGGACAAAGCTTTCAGGCACAGAGGGTGATTCTTGGAGTTGTCCTGTGCAAGGCCAGGAGCTGGACTCAATGAGCCTTGTGGGCCCTTTCCAATTCAGCATATTCCATGGTTCTAAGTTTCATATAACTTCAAGATTTAGATAAGCTAACTATGTTTCTGGGTCAAGGCAGTATAGTTCCTTTCTTGCAGCCAACTTACAAGACTAAAACAACTTCAGATTCATCACTGACCACATGTAAGGCAAATTAAATATCTTGTTGCAGTCTGTTACTTCTTAAGAATGCCTTTCTCTTCAAAAATTAATTAGGAGCAGAGACATCACAACTAGTTTTAAGCAAGGATTGCTGAGAATTAGAGGTGCTGTAGCTGTGATAGCAATGTTTGAAAGTGCTTCCTAGTTGACCTGGCTTCTTCTTACTGCTCTGACACCCAAGTCAGCTTACTGAGTATCTATCAGAACAGCTCAACATTGCATTCTGCACAGCACGGATAAATGAAACAGTATCAGGACAAAGCTTTACAAATCATGCCAACATACAGGTTCACATACATAAGTCAATCCTTTAAAGTTATTAAAAAGAAAAAAAGTACATAAACCTGAAGAAATGCAGTGGGGGAAGTGTTCAGCAGCTATTGTAGTTTCCTGTCACTTCTTTTCATTACAGATTGAGATATGATGTTGCCTAAACTTGTGCCAAAACACAGCAAGAGGAAGTGAATAAGAGCAAGAATGTTTAAGTATTGAGTTTTAAGATGGCTTCTGACCAATCAAACAGAAATACCAGTGTAGAAAGATTGGCAGGGACTTCTTTAGAGTCTTTCTCAACCTCACCTCATCAGTAAACAGAGGAGACACATCTGCAATGAGGTGAAAAAATGATGGTCATCTAGGAAATTTTCTGAAATACTCAAATCAGGATATGTAAAAAGCAGTTTTCTCAGACAGTTTTGTTTCCCGTTTTCCTATATTTTCCCATGTCCAGAGTTTTTGCACACCAGAGTAGATGTCACTATAACCATTTGAATTTTTGTTCCAAGTTTCCATATCCTACTGCAAAAAGAGTCCAGGTCATGCTTTTTACAGCATAATAAATCCACACTGTTACTGTAACTTTGTGTGTCACGCTAATGACTTCTTTAATCACTGATCCCAAAGCAATGTCCAAATTATTCAGCCCCAAATTCAGAAAAGACAAACTGAAACATGAGAGACTAAACATAGGCGATTTCCTGGATTTATTCTTTTGATTCAAGAGAATACTGTCTGAGAGAAATAGTTTTTTCTGATTGGGGTTCCAATTCCCTCAACTAGTAATGAAATTAATAAAACACCAAAAATCCTAGAAAATATGACAGGCGGCAATATTCAGACTGACTGTGCAGTATCTGCAGTGTATATTTAAGACAGTTCAATGTAATGTTCTAACTATGGTCGGGCAACAAGGTTACCCAGTTCTAGTTGAATAGGACAACGAGTACATAACTCTTGATGTTTCTCTGCAAGGAAATATGAACTCAGCTGCATTTGAACACCATGATAACTTTGAAAATATGAAAGGTGAATAGAAATTATGAATTTTGTTTCAAAATTTCTGGTTTCACCAGCACTGTGCAGTTTTTCAAAGAACTTACTTGGAGTGAACAAAAAGGTTTTCCGTGGGAATGTGCTAACACTTGAATGAAACTTTACCTGTAGTAAGGACACAGAAGAAGTTAGAAAAAGAAACAGTTCAGTGAGACATTTGAGACTGGTCATGGGATCTGAACTAGAAACAAGAGAAAACAGAACCTTGCAGCTTTTAAACAGTGTGAATCACATTTCAAGAAAGAAAATACTACTCATAGTCACACACCAGTTTGTCAGTGGTCCTGGAATTTACTTTGGAGAAAACTGGGTTTAGGACAGTACTGTTGCTTCTCATTCCAGTACTGGCTGTAGATTGTAGGACATTTTCATTGCAGAAAAAAGCTGATATTACTCATCAGAGCTGTTGTTTTCAAAGCAGCAGGGAAACCTATGGGATTTTAAAAAACCCAGCTTTGTAGCTTCATAGGCTTATCCACTAGACTTCATTAAAACAAGCAGGAACTTTCTCCCTATAGAGACTTGGTCAGGAAATAGTCAGGAATCCAGTATCCTCAATATTTGGCTTTCTAACCAAGAAAAACAAATTTTAATGTGGACTGTTCTTTTGCCTGTTACCAAATGGCTATATTGGGAATACACATATTAACCATTCTAGCTGAATGGGAAATATATGGTTGATATTCCACTGGACACCGAAATTTATATATATTCCCTGGATGAATAAAACTGACCAGAGCTGACAGCTATTTCTGTCCTTTCACTCTCTTAAATTTTACATCAAGGCTATAACTAAGGTAGATTGCAATATTGCTTTAGACAATTACATGGTTTGAAGAAAGAGCCCCGTTGACATTACTGCTATTTCTGCATTACTTCACTTCCTTCCTACACTGTAACAGTCACAAGCACCATCTTGCAGGCAGACCTCGATCCAGGCTTCTCATCTGAAATGACAAAATGGAGAGAAAAAAGCACGGGCTGCTTATGATTTTGCAGGGGGGTGGGGGTTGAAGGGGGAGGGAAGACACACATGTCTCTCTCTCTCGTGTGTGTGTGTGTGTGTGTGTGTGTGCGCGCGTTAGCAGCTGATGCTGACAGGAGAGTTTCTCCAACAGGAATAATCGCCGCCTCGCTCCCCTCAGCTGCATCTTCAGCTTGTTTTTCCCTGTCGTGCACATTGGCCGGCAGCAAAGCCGTGTGTATGTTGCCCCTGCCTTCCTGTGCTTGCACACAGAATAAGCTCTGTAGCCTAGCTGTATAAAAGACGGATGAGCCGCTATGAAGGCAGAAGTAACAGTTTAGCTAATACTACGAGAATGCAGTCTGTCCTGTCCTCATAATGTTCCACTGATTTCATTAGAAACACAGATGACTTGAGATACAAGCCTGCACATAGTTCCCTGGTTCCCATGGGAAACGCTCCGAGGTTTGAACCGGGTGTTTAATATCGGAGCTGAAGCAAGACAAAATTAGAAGGGACCGCCAGCATCAGCGGGCTGCACACTTTGCCAACACCGGCAAAACCTTTACAATTTCTTTTTTAGGCTAATACCAAAAGCCATCGGCGTAAAGCTGCACCGCTCCCACTCTTGAGGCCCGCAGCCGCCAACCCCGCTCCCCCGCAGCGCCGGCCGAGCCCTGCCCGAGCCCTGCCCGAGCCCCGCCTAGCTCTCCCGGCCCTGCCTGGGCCCCGCACAGCTCTCTGGGCCCTGCCCGAGCCCCGCCAGGCTCTCCCGGCCCTGCCTGAGCCCTGCCCGGGCCCTGCCTCGCTCTCCCGGCCCTGTCCCGTTCTCCCGGCCCTGCCTGCCCGGGCCCCGCCCGATCCCGCCCCGCGGGCCGCGCCGCTCGCCCGGCGGGCGGAGCTCCGGCTCGGGGCTCTCCCCGCGGCCCAGTTCCGGGTGCCGGGGATGCCGGCGATGGCGCGGCTGGGCGCGCTGTGCCCGCGCTTTAGCCGGCTGCTGTGCCTGTGCTTCAGCCGGCTGCTGCCGCTGTGCCTGCCCCTGTGCCTACCGCAGCCGGCGGCGGCGCGCTCGTCCGCCCCGCACCTGGTGCTGGTGCTGGCCGACGACCTGGGCTGGGGCGACGTGGGCTGGCACGGGTCTGCCATCCGCACGCCGCGGCTGGACGCGCTGGGCGCGGCCGGCGTGCGGCTGGAGCGCTACTACACGCAGCCGCTGTGCACGCCGTCCCGCAGCCAGCTCCTGTCGGGCCGCTACCAGGTAGGGCGGGCGCTCGCAGCCCGGCCGCGCTGCCCGCAGGATGCTCCGGGCGCTCCCTGCTCGCAGCTCCCGTGCCGCTGGGGCTTGCTGGGTCTCTGTGCCGCTGCGCTGCCGAAACAGCTGCTCTGAAACTGCAAACTTCGCCTTGCGAGCTCGGGAGTAAACTAGAGCATGGAATCGGTGCAAATTGTTCTGTTCCAGAAAAGCCGAGGTGCTCACTATGCTTCGGTTGGATTAACAGGCACGGCACGCTGTCGTGGAAAATATCCTTGCCCTAGTCGCCTGACTCTTGGATATTTTTCCACTGGATAACCCGGTCGAGATGCAGAAACGAGCAGATGAGCATTACTTGTTCAGTTTTTGCTGCATATTTCCAGTGCAGTGCCCAAATGCGTCAGTAGCTATACATTCACCTCCATCTGGTACAGGATGTTCTGCCCTTCTTGATGGAGTGCGCACAGAGTGGTCATTAGTCTGGGTGTGTAAATAAGTTCATAGTGATTTTATAGTGATTATCCTGATTTTCCCTTTTTGTTTTTTTCCTTTCTTTATCTCCCCCCCCCTCCCCCCCCCCCCCTCCCCCCCCCCGTTGTACAGATGTAAGATTTGGGCTTTATAATACTGATATCATTCTATCCTTTCCTATCCTTTTTGCAGTTTTGGCAAAAACCTGAGGAGTGGGGGGTGAGAAAGAAAGTAAGGACACACAGCATAGACAGAAGGAAGAAACTCTCAAAGGGTTAAGTGTGTTTCAGGAACTTCCCCTCTGTCTCAAGAAGTCCTGCACATCCATGTTAACCACAGTGATTGCCAAATAAACTGCTCTGAGTGAAAGAAAATAAATGTCATCTTGTAGTAGGGGACGCTGTCTCTTCTTGCAGGAATGTTGTTCTAGGTACACTCTTTCCAAGCAACATTTGTCTCTTTCCTGAAAAGTCGAAGAATGGATAATGAAGAATAGGAAAAAGCAATTTACATTATCTTTACCAACCCTTGAGGTTGCTCTATTAAATAACCTAAAATATTTTTTCATAGTGAATATTTTTAAAATATTGTTCATAATCTGAATGTGCTTTCTAAGAAAGTGGCCACTGCTGCATCACATCTTCAAAGTGAACTTTGAAAACACCTATAGTTCAGTCTGGATTTAAGTTCATCCCATAATGTGTCTTGATAATTTAATAATCTTCATGTTGACCACGTTGCAATTGAGTAAAATGATATTAGAAAATTAATTTTCTTTTTTTTTTTTTTAATAGAGGAGGCATTCCATACAGCAGTTATTATGCAGTAAATATGTGGGATCTTTTAAAAATTGTTTTACGCATGGATATGATTAACAGTTGCTTAGAAAGTTGGGAAAGTAACCTAAATCTGGAGATGAAATTTTGGTAGTCACCTTGCAATCCATCTGAAAGAAAAGCAATGGTATTGGTCTAAGATAGCTATAGATATTTTTATATTATTATTGCCTCCTTCTCCTTTTTCTCATTTTCCAGATACAGTGCAAGAAATTACAATGCTTTGCTAGTTTGTGCATTTGGTATATTAATGCTTTCTGTAATAAAGCATTTTAAAATATTTTAAATGTTTTATATGTATAGTAGAAAATCTACACTATAATTTAATTTTTGGAACCTCCTTGTTCAAAGAAAATGAGGAAGTAGTAGGCCCTTTAGAAAAGGGCCTTACCCACTTGCCTAAGTTCATGGCTTATTTGTTTTAAAAGTCAGTTCAGAGAGTTGCTAAATTTCAAAGCAATGCTTTGAACGTTAATCTTGCAGCTTGCTACACTGGTTTGCTTAGTGAAGTCATAAAATCTGGTGTTAGCTGCTCCAGGGGATCTTGGAGACTTTGTGCTTTGACACACGCATAGATTCTAGCACGTAGACTGCTAGAAATGTTTAATATATAAACAAGATATATGTACTTGTATATGTATGTTTGCAGGTCTAGGTTTAGGGGAATGCCTTTTTGATTGTGGAGAAGACAGAGTTGACAAAACAGTTTATAGTATCATTAACTGAGGAGGTTCCTTGTATCAAGTGTGATATACTACTCAAAGTATTGTTATCAGTGATGGTTTTGTAAACAAATACAAAATTCATCACTTAGTAAGACTGGAAACTTTAGCAGAACTATTGAATGTCAGATCTAGTCAGTGTGAAGCTTTCCCCACCCAAATGCTTTCTGTAGTGCTTGTACTCATTTGAAGCATGCAAATAAATATACAAGTACGTATATATAATGGCCATTTAGAAGAGTAATAGAAAAATAGTTTTCTTTTATCGACCTTTCCTCCAGTGACTGTTCTCTGATACAGGCAAAATCTTGATAGATTCACCCACCATGTGCATTTTTGCCCATTTCAATCCCATTTAAAATCTCTCACTCCATCTTGAGATGTCTCAAGCCTTTGAACAGACCATAATGATAATTCTTACCTGTTAGATTTCTAGCTAAAAGCATAAAAGGCTTTGTGTGTGTTTGTTTGTTTTGTTGTTTTTTAAATTGCTGATGAAAGTGCTTGATTTATGCCTGGGAAGATATTAACTCTTGCAGTGCTATTTTCTTGTTTTCCTCCATGCAACCCCTACCCTCCACCTGCAGCTTCCTCATCATCTTCAGTGCTACATTGGTAAAATGAAGAGCCCCTAAAATTAATCCTAATCTCTAATGCAGCTGTGCTTCTTTTTTGCCCTGCTTATAAATTAACATGTGGGCTGCATTGTAAGGGATCTCTCACACTTCTTTTCTCTGCAAGATCCACACAGGTTTACAACACCAGATAATTTGGCCATGCCAGCCCAGTTGTCTGCCACTGGATGAGAAACTCCTCCCAGAGCTACTTCAAGAGGCGGGATATGTTACTCACATGGTGGGGAAGTGGCATTTGGGGATGTACAGAAAAGAATGCCTTCCGACTCGCAGAGGATTTGACACTTACTTTGGTAATAGTTTGATTTAGTGTGGGCAGTAAATGCAGTGTTGAAAAGGATGAGAAACTGTCCCATTCTTGTAACAGCGGCGGATTTACTGCTTATTTATAAGTAAAGCCCTATCTGGGTATGCGTATTTCCAAAGTACTACTGCTTAAAAAATGATAATGCCTTAAATGTATGCTCAAGCTTTACAACTTACTGAAGAAAGTATCAGAATTACTGTGTAGCCCCAAGTAAAGCGTTTCTCTCTTTCCATTTTCCCTCACTCCTCCCTCCTTCCCAGAGTTAACTTTTTGCTCTGAATTCTCTGTCTCCTACCTACAGCAGCACAGGGGAATAGGGAAGGGGGGGTTACAGCCTGTTTGTGTAGCTTTGGTTTTCCAGAGCTGGTGATGAGATGGTGTGAAAGCCTCTATAAAGTAGTATCCAAAAACTCATAAGTTAGGAAGTGAAGCTCTCAGACTAAACAGTAGATTGTCTAAGTGTGAGTGCATTACTTGCAAAGCAACTTATAGCTATGCATTGTTTATTGTTCCAAGTGTGGTTTGGGCTCCTGTCCCAGTATCAATTTATTAGTTTTGCACAAGTGTCACGGATGGTATATGACTTGGGCTGTCAAATGTCTCATTCTGCATCATTCTGCACACCACTGAGCTCAAAGAGATCCATCTCCACTTGGTTGGTTTTGAGACACTTTCCTTGAACAATGAATTTCAAAATAGTAAATTTCAATGCAGAAGCCTGTGTTGCTCTTGTCTAACCTGCAGCTTAAATGAAGAATGTGACTGTGCTCTGTGTGTGCCTTTAATAAATCATGTTCATCCAAACATGAGGTGGGAAAAACTGTCCCCTTAGGTGGTTTACTTCTTTTCACTCTTTGGGGAGCTCACAAACATGGTTTCACAACTGAATTAAGCTAATATATGTGGATTGGGATATAATGGCTCTCATTGCTTAAGGATTTGTGCTTTCTCCCATCCCTCCACAGGAGCTTGGAATCTCCTTGGTGGCATGGGTGTAGATAGGCTGCTGTTCCTTTTGAAATCTCACCCTGGGACTGAGCAGGCTTTTAATGCAGGAGCCTGAGGATAGGCTGGCTCTGTGTATTGTTTTTGGGTGCCCAATGTGGCATTATTTTTCCAAGGATATAGTGGTTTAATATCCTGTAATGTTCATGTGATTCCAGTAGGCATCCATTATGATTAGGGATGTTTGATTCCGTGGCACACTTGATGCACTCTCGCCCAGTGGGCATTCAAAATGGAAAAAATGCAACATATGCCTCTGAGTACATTGATGTAAGCAATCTGCCTATAAAATCACTTCACCTTTTGAAAAACTAACCATTTTGTTCTCCTAAAAATATCATAGACATTTATTTAAGATCACTTTATTTTTTCTGTACATTTGTTTTTGCAGAAATTACTAGCTGCAGCTGCTGAAAAAAAAGTTCAAGTAAATTTCTTCAGTCTTGGATTTTTGTCCCAAGATCTTTTTTTTGCGGAACATAGGACTGTATTTTTTTCAGATTCATCCATTTTTTCAGGATATTCGGGGAGAAATCTAAAATCTCATTTCAAATGTAATTTTTGAGATTCAAATGATTTTGAAAAGTTTTTTTTGTGCCTGCTAAAACACAAGGGCACTCCATGCCTAACAGGCTAGCCCTAGGTAGGACCAAATCCATACCTGCAGGATTTTTACTTAATTTCTTTTGGATATCTCTAAGTGATAGTGTCTTTTCTTGACCAGCTGGTGTCAGCAGTGGATCAGAAATTGCATTACAGCAGACACAGATGATTCATGCTTGGATGTTTTTGAATAAATGGATTTTAAAATTCCAAACTTTCCAATAGAGGTGGAAGCCTACATCAAAATACAAACATGGAAATCATACCACTAAGAATCAGACTAGTTCACAGCTAGATCACTGCCTTGGCTCCTAGTGCATTAGTTTAGTGCTCATGGACATCAAAGTACAAATAAGAGGTCATTAAACTGCTTTCAAAATATTTAATTTCTTTTGAAATTAATGCTGGCATTAGCAATGAAAAGCCTATGAGGTATTAAATGTGGAACTATTTAGACGTGTCAGGGGTCTCATAGTAGGTGGTCCAGGGTTGAATTACTGTTTTAGCTCAAAACCACTAATGTTTAGACATTTGCGTTTGACTTTTTTCTCCTCCTGATGTATGTGTTTATGTGCCACGATGTTGGCCTGCTCATTTGACATCTTTTCCTGTTGTAGGCTATCTCCTGGGCAGTGAGGATTATTATACTCATGACCACTGTGTCCTCATCAAAGCAAAGAATGTGACGCGCTGTGCTCTGGACTTTCGAGATGGAGAAGAAGTTGCAACTGGATTTAAAAATGTGTACTCCACAAATTTATTCACAGAAAGAGCTATAGATCTTATAGCAAATCACAAAACTGAGAAGGTACAGATAACTTCAGCATTAAAGAATGTTTCTAAAACATTGATGAAATATTGTTAGAGAGAGCTGTGTTTGAGCTGCAGTTCAGGGCTATTCAATAGGTGCATAGAGCTAATTGTGAGAAGTAGCAGTGGTAAAACTCATCTGCTGCCAAAATCGGCTTTGTCTGCATGGTCCTGGCCTGCTACCCTTCTCCATTTCTTCTATTTTAATACAATTAATACATTTTTAGAAATGGTTGAGCAAGTAGTTTGCACTTCTAAACAGAGAAGGGAAGCTTAAGTTGAGAAGTTTAATAGAAAGAAATTGTTAACAATTATGTTACGAAGAAAAGATAGACCTGATGTTTTTCCACAGCTTTCCAAAAGTAATTTTTCAAAGCTTTCTTAGTTTATGTGCAAAGAATGGAAGATGTAGAAGTTGTAGAAGAAATCAAAAGGCAGTACCTGCACAGTTGATAAAAGATGTCTGCTTTTGCTGCAGTAACTTTTGCACTTAGTACTTTATGTTCAACTAATTTCCATTTTATCCCTTCCACCCCAGCCCCTCTTTCTCTATCTTGCCTTTCAGTCTGTTCATGAACCTCTCGAGGTCCCTGAAGAATACTTGAAACCATATTCTTCCATAAAAGATGTGAAAAGGCGCCATTATGCAGGAATGGTGACTCTTATGGACGAAGCGGTAGGAAATCTTACTGATGCTCTGAAAACATACGGTCTTTGGGACAACACAGTTTTTGTTTTCTCTACTGGTAAGTTCCTTCAAGTATTCTTTCAGTAATAACTTTGCTAACAAGCTGATTACAGAGACATCTGGCCCCTCTGTCTTTCCTCTGGATATCTTCTAATGACATCAGAGTGATGAAAGTTAAGCAGGAGTTTACATGAAACAGCAGATTCTCTCCCTTCTCTTAGGGCTTTCTCAAGCTTGACAAAAACAACTCCAAAGTAGTGTCTGTGCGCATGGGGGATGCTCCTGGTGGTGTAAAAATACCTTTATAAAATCTGAGGAGTGCAGTGGAGTTAGAAGCATCCTACTTGACACTGTAGTTACTGAGGATCTGTCAGAATTAAATCCTTACTGAGAGCTGTCTATTTCTTCTGAAGCCGTCTGTCCTGTCTGTGTATTGCCATGTGTTTCATGAAGCACAAACAGCCAGACAGCAGGCAGTTTGAAGCCAAAACTGTTTTTTCCCCTCACTTTAAGGTGTCATGTAGTTTTTGTCGTTTTTGAAGTATTTCACTGGCATCTTAGTCCCATGAAACAAAGGTCTGTTAATAAAACAGTTGAAAATGTGATGAGCAGTCTAGTCAGCCAAATTACAATCTAAGTTTTTGTATGTACAGGCACATGATCTGGTTTCTAGGTTATTAGAGTAATGTAAATAATACATTGCAAAGCAGTCTCCTTTGTTTCCAAATTAAGAATGAAACAGAACTTTTTTGAAATACAGCTGCTTGGCTGGGTTTCAGGAACATATTTACTCTTGTTTGGTTGGAAATGGGAAGTAGCCTTTCAATGCATACAGTTGTTCTTTTGTCCACACTTTACATATTAGGGCTGTCATAATGGCTAATTAATTTTCTGTGAACACTTCAAATACTACAATAACAACTGAAACAAACAGACAAGCAAAACAAAAAAAGAACCAACCAAAGTTTGATGAAAATGCACTTATGTGTTTTGAGTTTAGCAACTGCTTCCTATAGCACTCAGGATCTTGGAGTTTGAGTCCAAACCTGTTTGCCTTATGATGTTATATTTGTGACCAGATTTTGCTCCAGCAAGATTTGATAACTCGTCTATGCCTATTTCTGTTTGCAATGTTTTTATATTTCGAACTGAAAATGAGCAAAGACATATGGAAAACTATACCAGTATTTATCCCATATGGAAAAAATCCAGTCTTTGCTGAGACTGGGGCTCGGAAGAGTTATTTCAGAAATGTTTATTCAGTACGTTGTGGAATAAAACTAAAAACTTAAAGACATCTGAGCTAGAATTACAAGGTGTGAGTGAATTAAAAAGAAACAAATTTGTTTTTTTCATTTATTAAGCATTTCTTTTTTCTGAATTGTGACAGTGTACCCTGTTTTTCAACAGTGACTATTTTACAATCAGTTGCAGGTATATTTTAACAACAGTCAAACAATCAGGAGAATCAAGTGCCTACTCTATCTAATGGGATTTATTTTGAGTTAATTGACAGTTTAAACTTCCAGGAGTTAAATTTAATATGATCAAAATGCATGGAAATTGGACTTAAATCAAGCAGCACAGGGGCCAGTGATTTGGATCTTTTCAGTGTTCTCTCTTCACGCAGTTATTCTTTACAGGCATAAAACATTGCATGCAATAAGAACTCAGTTTCAAAAACCAAGTGTTAAAACCATAAAACATTTTTAAAAGACCAGCAAAAGGAAAAATCTTGTCAAATTATTTGGTTTGTCTATATTTTGTTATTGCTTTTTCAGGTGGTGTATTTCAGAACAGACTTTAGAATATGGTTGAAAAGAGACATGCGAGGGTCTACAGTTGAGCATCTCTTGCAGAGAGCTCTGCTGTGTCAGATCTCCCTGCACAGCTTCCAGGTCCTTTGGAATTGGGAGTCCTTCTGTGCACTGGTAGCTATAATATGAGCCTATGATTATAGTATGATGTACCTTCAGGTCTTGAGGACATGTCTGCCTCTTCCTGCCCCAAGTGCTGTCCTGGCATTGGGAGACCCTTTTTTAGCTTAGTGGGATGCAGCAGGGCACACACACTTTTCTTTATTATCAAGAACTCTCTCCAAGCAAGTTCTTCCCAGTTTGTGGGATTAAGAATCAATTTAAGGAATTCAATGAAGACTGCAAGGGAGAATTTAGGGAATGATAAAGTTTATCCATAAGTTTAATGAACACTGTTAAAGACACAGAATCATCATACTTGCTCAGAGGAATTTGGGGGTGGCTGAGAGGCTGGACATGCCCCAGCCATGGGCACTGCCAGCCCAGAGAGCCACACGTGTCCTGGGCTGCATCCAGAGCAGGGTGGGCAGCAGGGCAGGGAGGGGATTCTGCCCCTCTGCTCTGCTCTGCTGAGACCCCACCTGCAGGGCTGCATCAGCTCTGGGGGCACAGCACAGCAAGGACAGGGACCTGCTGGAGAGAGTCCAGAGGAGGCCACAGAGATGATCAGGGGGCTGGAGCGCCTTCGCTATTACGACAGAGAGTTGGAGTTCTCCAGGAGAAGAGAAGGCTCTGAAGACACCTTACTGCAGGCTTTAAGTACTTAAAGTAGACTTATAAAAAATTTGAGGACAGAGCTTTTAACAAGATCTGTTGTGATAGGACAAAGGGTGATGATTTTACACTGAAGTAGAACAGATTCTGACTAGATATAAGGAAGACATTTTTCGTAATGAGGTTGGTGAAACGCTGCAGTAGGTTGTACAGAGAGGTTGTGGATCCCTGGAAACATTCAAGGTCAGGTTGGATGGGGCACCAAATAAGCTGATCTAGTTGAAGAAGTCTGCTCATTGTAGGGGGGTTTGGCTAGATGACTTTTAGAGGTCCTTTCAAACCCAGACCATTATAAGAGAAATGCACTCTCTATTTGGTTAGCTGTGTGCTTTGATAAAGGTGTTGTTGAAAGTCTGTAGAGGAAAAAGAAGGCCCTACTTTTATGGTACATTTTACCAGATTCATTACTATTTCCTTTTTAGTTGAGGCCAAAATTCACACTTCCATGTTTGTATTTCTCCATGCTTTAAAAGTCCTGCCCAAAGAATAATTTACAGGTGGTCATTTTGTATTTTGTATTATGGCAAGTAGCATTGCAACTAACATAGTCTTCTGACTACCTCTCTGTGAGGTGTTGACCTCAAACAGTAGATTTCTTTTTACTGGGTACATATTAAAAAAACCCCATAAAATACGATGTAATATTTGATCTTGTGGTATATTTTTTTTTATTATTATATTCTTTCATGTTTCTTCCTATTTGTTATGGCTCAAGAGGAATTGCCCTGAAAACATGCCAGCTGACAAAAGGAAATACTGCACATTTTGAAACAGTCTTGTGAACTGTGTAGAAGAACTTTAGTTCCTCTTTAAAGTGGCCTGATGGAGATAGCAGGATAAAAATGTAACTTCATTATGTGTGGTCATTAGCAAAGTCTGACTCCATCAGTATGTCTTGTAAATCAACCCTGTTTTTGAGGTGTCTTTTTCAACAGAAAGGCAATTTCTACAAGTAAATAAGAAAAAGTTGAGCAGGTTCAATGGCATGTGGTGGTATATTTGTGTATCAAGTAGTAGCTTGAAAAGTCTTGATTGGTTTGATATGAAGTAGAATTTTCTTTTATGGAGCATTTTTTACACTGCAGATACAAGTAACTATGCTAACGAGATCATTTATGAAAATAAAGTAATTGCTTGTTTAAACAAAACAGATGAAAAATGAATGCAGCAGGATTGGGTACGCATGGCCTTTTGTTCACTTGAAATCAAAAATAATGAGATAGGGTGTATTTTTCCTTTTAGCAATTCCAGGAGACTGTAACTACCAATGTCCCTGAAGAGAGCCTCGATTTAAAATAAAGGTCATAAAAAGCATTAAAATGGTACAAATTTGGCTCAGAACTATTAACATGTGCTTTGAGTCCAAATTTTGCATCAAATATAGAACTGTGATTTGAGGTAAGAAGTAGGGATTTGCTGTGAATACAATTCATTATAGTTTCTGCAAGGTATTACAAGAAATTTTGGCGTGAACATGCCAACATTAAAGCAAAGGAATATGACCCATAGTTTCAGTTCTGTATTAAAGCTGCTATTCCTTGCTTTATCAAACTTTCAGTTCTTAGTTATGCTGAAACACTGTGGAGCAACACTCATTTCTTCCAGTATTTCTTGCTGTTTTTGAATGTGGATTAGCACTGTAATGCCTGGTAGTTGCCATAAGAGGGCTTTGAAAAGCAAAGCACGTGGAACCTTTCAAGCCTTGGTTTACATTGCTAAGAGGAAACCACATAAATCCTTTCCATAATGGAGCATGTGACAGTGATGACTGTTTTCACTCCAAAAGACGGTCTTTTTATCATTGTAGAATTATGATTAATAAGAGCACAGATTCTTTTGGACATACTTACTGATGTTTATACAGTCTCTATCATAACCCTAGGTTTTTTTTCCCCACAAAATTTCATATTACCCTTTTTTTCCTTTCTTTTTTTTTTTTTTTTTCCCTTTCATTCCAGCCCACATATTGTGGCTTTTGGTAATGAAATACTGGGATTTTCTTTTTCCAATGCCTTCTTTAAGGCAAGAATCTGACTTTCCCTGATTCCTTAAGGGAGTTTTCTTATCTTCTTGATATCTCTGTTCAAAAATGAACTCCTGCTCCTTCACTTTTGCTTATAAGGGACTTCAGAGAGCCTACTAATTGCAGATTGGCCAAGTCAATTGACTGGAGCAGTTACTCTGTGTCTGTGATGTCTGAGGTGCTAATTTGAAGGTTGTACTCCCAGATTTTTTCATTGCAGATCAGAAGATTTGTTTTAATTGTTCTTTCAGAGGTTTCTGAGAGGTCTGGTGTGTTTTCAGTGAGTAACATGCCTAGCCATCTATTGCCTCAGCATCTGCTCCTTCCTAAGTGGAAAAAAGCACAGGTGCCTTAGCTGCAAGCACCTTCAACACACTAGTTATTTGAGTAAATCTACTCCATTTTTTTTGTTGTTTTTGTTTCTTGTTTATTTAGTCTTATTTT